ATTTATAATATAAAAACATGAAGTAATAAAATTTTATCTATTCCAATCTTCTCAACATACATACAAATCCAAATTATACATGATACACATACAACATAATAACATGCATGTAAAGACAGACAAGAATGGGGAAAGAAAAAGAAAATAAAAGTTTAAAATACCCCGGGACAAAAATTTGTGTATATAATAATATAACATTATATAGAAATATATAAAAGTATACGTATAATCGCAGAATTATATTATGAAATATGTCTATACATAATTAAGTAAAAGTGCTTGTTATATATAATTATATAAATTTATATATATATAATTATAACAATAAAATGTTTAATTTCGTTCGCCAGGAATGAAATACTAAGGTAGTAGATATTAAACTGACTACACTGGTACAGCGTGCTCAGTCGTGGCAAGATGACACAAGTGAAACGCAGTTAATTTACCATCCGATCTTAAGTTAAGTCTCACCGGAGCGTACTTTTAAATGTCAATAACGATATGCAGTAACTCATTAATGTTTCTATTGTAATTTTGAAAAGGACCACAGCCCGTATGGTCGAAACGTCAATAAATATAGTTTAACAAATCTAATAGACAGCCAGTGTAGTCAGTTTAATATCTACTACCTTAATATATAATTATATAAATTTATATATATATATATATATATATATATATATATATTTATATAAGCAGAGCCGGTTTAAGGTATTTGTAGGCCAGGGGTTGATGTTAAAACGGGGCCTCCTTCATTCATATAAGAATTGTCTACTTGCGTAGATAAATATCTATTTTTAATAAAAATTATTTATTGAATAATAACATTGAATTAAATGCAAAATAGATACATATTTTGCAATTCTTATTTAAACGTGATTGTTCGTATGACTTTTGTCGTTTCTGTTTAAACGATATAAGTAAGTTCTGGATGCTGAAAAATAAATACATGAAAATAATTCACATTTTATTGAAATTACAGTAGTACTTATAAAAGTTTTTTTCTTGATTTATTGCGCGCAAATTCATTGATTAAATCATTAAATTCAAGATTTTTTAGCAATTCGCTCTCTATTGCTAATAATGCTAATGACGATAATCTAGTATCCGTCATTGTGGATCGATATTTATTTTTTATTATAGTTAATTTAGAAAACGATCGCTCGGCCTCGCAATTTGCGATCGGTATTGTCATAAATAGTCTAAATGCTACGTATATATTTGGAAAGACTTCTTCAAGTTTTCGATCGCACATCCATTTTAAAATATCCAATGGAAAGAATGTAACATTTTTGAAGCTAGTTTTTATAAACGGAATAAATTGTTCCAGTTCGCAACCTAAACTACTTTCTAAATCATGAGAATAAATGCTAACAAGACGATTAGCGCACTCTCGCATTTCATCGATTTCGATGGTCATCAATTTAGTTAGAAAGCCAAATAACTTTGTTATGTGATTATACGCCGAACTTCGTTTTTCTAATTCAACTCGAAGTTTGTCAATGATTACATTAAATGATTCAATACGGAATTTTTCGCAACCATTTAAATTTTGAATCTCCGTTACATTATCTGCACATTTTTTTTAATTTTTCGTTTCTGTGTATCAGAATATTTTTGTTGTACAAAAGAGCCTAAATTTTTAGAATCGTTTTCTATTGCTACAAAATCATTTCTTACGTCACTAATAAATTTAACTAGCGAGTGTAGCATATCATTAGCCGTAATCAAGTCGAGTTCGATTTTTTGCACAAATTTGCTAGTTATATTGAATCGTTGAAGAACTCGATGCCAAAAAACTGTCATAAATGCAGTTTCTAGTTTTGTTAATTTGTTTTTTAAGGACATTGCTTCGTGACGAGTTTCGGTCTTTTCTTCTTCACTTTGCTCAATCTCATACAATGAATTATATAATTCTAAATAATTCTGAGCTAATGCAGTAATGGCATCATCGCGGCATGACCATCTTGTAGAAGATAAACTTTTTAATGTAATGCTCGCGTGTTTTAGCAATATGCTCCAACGATGCGTAGAAATGGAAAAGAAAGCATAAAGTTGTTGTACAAACCGGAAAAAATTTACAGAATCGATACATTCATCTACGCTGCATTCGCCAACTAAATTTAGTGAGTGTCCTACACAAGGAACGTAATACGCAAGAGAATTAACTTCTTTAATTCGTGCTTGTAATCCCGAGTATTTTCCAGACATGTTACTGGCATTATCATAAGTTTGCGCTCGACAGTAAACAATGTCAATTTCATTATTGCGAAGAACTTGTAATATTGTTTCATTCAATGATGCTCCAGTATGGCTATTAATAGGTAAAAAGCAAAAGTAGCGTTCATACACACAACCATCCAAACAGTACCGGAATACAATAGATAACTGATCAACGTGAGATACATCTGGTGTCGAATCTACAATAAGGCTGAAATATTTTGCTCTCTTAATTTGGCTAAGAATTTCGTTCTTAACTTTGTTAGCCATCATGTGAATAAATTCTTTACAAATATCTTTTGACAAATAGGAAACGTGCCCGCGACCTTGATTTGCATGCAAGTCAAAGTGTTTTTTTAAGAATGGATCAAATTTAGAAATCAGTTCCAAAACACCCAAGTAATTTCCATTATTTGGAGAACCAATCACTTCATGCTCGCCCCGAAAAGCAAGACCGCGTGCAGAAAGAAAACGAATTACTTCGACAATGCGTTTTAAAACTTCAGTCCAATACTTAATCTCATCTTGTAGCTGCTTAGCCATATAATTATTAATATGTGATTTTTCATGCACGAATGTGAGCCAAGTAAGCATGCATTTTTTGTGTTCTGCACTATTTTCATGTCCACTAATCTTTTCTTCTGCTTTCTTCCAATTGCTAAATCCGCCGTTTACAAATGTGTTTGTATTATTTCCACTAAAAAGCTTACAAACGTAACAGAAAACATTCCCAGTAGACTCTGAATATATCAACCATTTTCGCGTGCATTTTTCACCGTTAGCCAAAGTTCGTGAAAAAACCTTCGAAGATAAAAATCTGTTTTGATCTTTATATTGTCTAACAGAAGCTTGAAAATTGTTATCTTTTTTCTGAAAATATTCATAGCCTTTATCCAAATACTTTTGCCTCACATCATCATGCATTTCCATGGGCCACAGAAAGGGATCTTTATTTACAGGTTCTGAAAAGTATAAAATAAATAAGGAAAAAGAATAGGGAGAGAGAACAAGAGATAGGAGAGAGAGAGAGAGAGAGAGAGGACGGGGAGAAAAGAGAGACTGCATTGACAACTGACAAGATTTTGTTTGTCACCACAATCAGAAGATTCTAAATGTACAGAAAACTTGTGTAATTTTTACAAAAGCAGCAAATAAAATTTTATATTTTAATTTTGCAAATTGTAACCTGCAAAAACGTACCTATGACGAGCTTGGCTTTCCTGCTTATTACGTTCTGATTATTCATGTCACAACTGTCATCTGAGTGTTCATTACAAATGACAGCATCTTTAATACTGAGTTCATCACTATTAGTAGAAAGTACCGAATTTGATGTTAACACTGAGATTTGCTGAATCTTATCGTCATCTTCATTAGCAATAGTGCCTCCAGTTTTTATTTCGGCAGGAAAGAAGTTGGTCAGTTTCGGTAGTTTATTTTTAAAATCTTCATGTTTCTGTTTCGCTTTACGTTTCGAAGTACCACTAGCGTATTTTCGTGGAATCATCACAAACGATAAATGGTAGACCGATAAACATGGACTTTCCCAACGGATGCGGACGTCTTTTACTTTTATTCATGTGACAATTGCCGCACGCGGCAGGGCGGCCACAACGTCATGAGAAATAAACAAATTTTATGGATTTTATATATGTGTGTGTGTGTGTATATCTTCAGATAAAAACACCAGTGTACTTTTTTTACTGAACATTGTGTCTGTGCACGATGATTCATTGTATGAGAAATGCAAAATTAAAATTTTTAATTATTTATTTGCATTCGATTATTTACTTTCATCGATGAAATACAATTTTATTTGAAAGCTAAGGGGCCCCTTATAAAGATGGGGCCGAGGGCTGTAGCCCCCTTAGCCCCCCCTTAACCCAGGACTTATATAATATAAGAATAAAGGGGATATCATTAGAATATCGCAAAAAATTTATAGATGAAGAAAATCTTGCAAATTTTAAAATCATCTTTATTTTTTGAATGATCTCAAGAATACAAAGTTTTACTGTGGATATCACGTTGCAGGACATCCTGCGTATATATACACATACATACATACATACATACATACATACATTCATATATATATATATATATATATATATATATATATATATATATATATATAAAGGCCGGTATTCATTGTCCGATTTTATATTTAAAATTAAGTCCGAGCTTGAGATGCTACGAAGCTATTTGATCGGTTGAATAGAATCTTAAGTTAACCTTAAAGCAGACTTAAGACGATCTTAAATATAAGATTGAACTATAAATACCGGTCCATATAGACTATAAAATGAATAAAAGACTATGAGATTATATATAAAAAACACTTACTAATTAATTCTCTTTCATAATTTAGGAAATCTACATTTTCATCAAGAATTGAATTATCTGTAAAAAGTATTTTAAAAATATAAGATATATATAAAAAAAATAAATATTTTATTTAGTCTTTAAGTCATCGATACTCAAGTTGGTATTCAGCATTGAATGTAAGATAAAATATAATTATATATATAACAAACATATAATTATATTTTACTTTACATTCAATGTTGAGTATCAATTTGAGTATCGATGACTTCCAGACAAAATGAAATGTGTTAGATGTTAAACGTGGTGTAATATTATTTCTTTACTTCCACTATATGCATAACAGATAATTGGAAATTATATCTTACCTTATCTTCAATATTGAGTGCCAATGTGAAATGTCGACTTTCCCGAACACAATGATGTGTTAGATGTTTAATGTTATGTAAAGTCTGTTTATTCCTCTGCTTCCACTGTATACATAACAGATACTCTGAAATATAAAATTTGATTAAATTGCAAGAAAAAGATGTGATAGAAAAATGTATGTGTATAGTGGAAGTAAAGAAATAATGTTATGCAACATTAAACATCTAACACATTTTATTTAGTCTTGAAGTCATCGATACTCAAATTGGTACTCAACATTGAATGTGAGGTAAAATATAATTATATATATAATAAATATATAATTATATTTTACTTTACATTCAATGTTGAGTATCGACTTGAGTATCGATGACTTCAAGACTAAATAAAATGTGTTAGATGTTTAACGGTGCGTAACATTATTTCTTTACGCCCACTATACACATACATTTTTTTATATTAAAGATCATATTAAAATCTTAATAAAGAAATAGTAAAATTATAATTAGCCATAAATTTTATAGGTACAAGGTACATAGAGGAAGTTATAACTTTGTTTTAATGGACTAAATTCACAATTAGCATAATTTTCGTAAAAATCAACGTAATAATTATTAAAAACAATTAAAGAAGTCTAATAATGCTATTCTGAATATTATATGAAATTATGTGCCTTAAGTTTAATTATATTTTTTATTTTATTTGGAATTTTGTCACCTTAACCTTATTACTATTTTTCGGAAGGCTGCAAATTTACAAGAACCAACAAATACAAGGAAAATATTATGAAAAGTACACGAATAAATATGTAAGCTAATTTATTTATAACTTTATAGAGTTGATTTATGAATTTAATAATGAAATAAATAAGGATTACCTTCGAGTATGTATGCACAGCCTTCGGAGATAGCGAAGCCAAGGCGGGAAGGACGAAAAAAGTTGAATATCACAGTCACGTAATATACGTTTAGAAAACATCGAACAAGTGAGTGCTCACACGATAATCACTGTCACTAGGTAAATTTTGGCTGTTTCAAAATTCACTGTCAATACTGCTAAAAATTTATAAATATATACGTAACGTATAAACTATCGATTGTGTAACTTTTTCCAAAGTGAAAAGGTAAAAAGTGAAAAATTTCTTCCAATCACACATTAATTTTATTTTAAAATCAATGCGTGATTGCCGAAAATTTTTTACTTTAAAAAAAGTTACACAATTGATACCCAACACTAACTTTAAATTTCAGAAAACACAGCCTTTATAACAGACTCTATATATGATCGAAGTATATCGAAGACGTTCAGAGAACATCCAAAGGATATTCTAGATATTCTCTGAACGTCTTTGGAACATGTATGCTGAGTTATATTGCGTATATATGAAAAAAAATTATTTCATCTACGCATAACTACGATCCGTTATATTGCGTTTATTATTTCCTTATGTTATATAATATTTATATTCTGTTTGCTGAAAAAAAGGGTTTATAACTATTTTACACGAAATTATTTTTATCGATAAGAATTCTTTACATATATGCATAAAATAAACATTTTTAAAACGTCCAAATATAAATATACTTTGAACATCCAATAATGGATATTCTTAAAACGTTCGTATTAAGTCCATGGACGTTTGTACCAAATAAAAACCAAAACTGGACGTCCACTGGACATTGTGTGCTGTCTGGGTCCTATTCTCCTCACCCCTTTTCTCACTCTTTCCTCACAAATACCTGCCACGCTTTCACACACCTGTCACTCACACTCTCACCGGAACCGGAAGCCGATAAATTTTTATTTATTTGTCGCAATTTTTTGATATAATTTTTTTGGTAAATATTTAATAATTTTGTATAGTAAAAATATATTGTTTAAAATTAAAATGACAATTTTTAGAGCACTTTTACCTTTTTTAAAAAAAAGTATAAAAAAGACAAGTTTATACGCCCACGTAAAAAACTGTTATAAAAAAAACAGTTAAAAATTTGTTTTTAAATTATTGTAAAAAACTGCTTTAAAAATGACATTTTAATTTTATATAATATATTCTTACTGTACAAAATAATTAAATATTTACCAAAAAATAATACTAAAAATTGCGACAAATGAATAAGTTTATCCTAATAAATAAGAGTTTATCCTATAAAATCTATTCTTTTATTAAATTAATTTTTTAATCGGAATATTTAAATAAAAAAATTTTAGAAGTTATAGAAATTAATCAACCAAACTAGCGAGTAAATAATTTATTCAGCTTCACGACGTTTCGACCATGTGATTGTGGTCCTTATCAAGTGAAACAAAAAAAATTCAATTAAAGTTAACACATTATTATTGTACGGTATGTACGTAAGTTGAATTATCGGGCGTGTGCCCGTCGTATGTTGTCGTGGAATAAGTGCTTCACGAATATACGACCGAGAATGTTTTTCTCTCACTTGCTTATATTTATTGAAAAACTCAGAAAGCAGTGACCGCACTCGAGATACAAAGTATAAATGCTTAATTGAAATACAGCGTATAATGGTATACAATAGCCGGCTATGTCGGCCGCACGTGTGTCTCTCGTTGTCTCTGAGACGATTCTGATTCGTATTAGCGGGGACCGCGTACGATGGGTCGCGATCGGCAACGGAAGCCCCCGAAGGCAACGGCGAAGGACCCGACATATATATATGCGGGTACCCGAATTCGAGCGGGTAGATTGACCGGGCGATACGCGTAAAATAGTTTATTGAATACCAAACAATTATATAAATTTTGTCAGTCACATTTCTTAAAACTATGTAAGTCAATCAATAAAGCAAAGCGAAACATTAAACATCATAACCCGTCGAAGGATCATCAGATTCTAATCTTCAGATTTCACTTGATAAGGACCGCAATCACATGGTCGAAACGTCGTGAAGCTGAATAAATCATTTACTCGCTAGTTTGGTCGATTAATTTTTACAACTCTTTTTAAACACTAGTGACTGCTATTAATAATATTGGAAAAAATTTTAGTTAAAAAAAATTGGCGCTGCTAAATTTCGAAATTAACTTTAGTATAATTTTACAAATTTATTGAAATTTCGACCTAACTGGCCAGTGCAATTTAATTAGAAACACTACGTTTCGACCCTTAGGTACGGGTCCTTTTCAAGTGTAACTGCACAATAAAATATACAATGATTAGGATATAAAACAATAAATTACAAAGTTGTTAACAAAGAAAATTAAAAATAATATACAATAATGTAATGTACCTATCTAGATGTTAATTCGACAGCAGTAAAATTACTAATGTTAACGGAGACAAATAAATCAATTTAAGTCAAACGTTTAAAAACACAATAATATCAAAGTTCGACAATACAACGACATAAATAAATAAATAAATAAATAGACAGTCACATACTGTGGATCAACTTATCATAAATAGGATTTAGATTTTCTGTGTCTCTTTGTAAATTGATGTTATTCTTATATTTTTTAATAAAAAACATCTCCGCTAATTCTCTCTTCTTTCTGTGTTTCTCGCAATGCAAAATCTTAGGTTTTGTCCATTTAAATTCATGGTCATATTTTGTTCGATGTTTGCTAATTACGTTATGATTACTATGGTGTTGTTTAATATTTTTAAAATGTTTGTTTACGCGTGTAGCTAATTGTCTTTTTGTTTGTCCTGTATATGTTGCGTTGCAATCGTTACATTCTATTAAATACACAACGTCAGTCTTTTTCATATGGTTGATCCTACCTTTTCCTCTCCAAATTAACCTATTTAATTTTTTCGGGATAGTATAAACAATTGATGCCACATTTTTTTAACACGTTCCTAAGATTTTCGCTCAAGCTTTTTACATACAGTATCGGTAACAATGATCCCGTATTAAACTTTTTACCTCCATTGTCATTAACCATCAAAAATTCTCTACGGTGTTTTAGAGCTTTAATTCTCTTCGCGATATGTAGTTCAATGAAAGGTTTCGGAAAGCAATTGTTGACCAAAATATCCGTAATAATTCTGATGTTATCAGTGTGAAAGCATTCGTTTGAAAGTAATAGAGCTCTGTCAACCAAACTTCTAATCGTGTTGATTTTGTACTAAAGGGGATGGTTAGATAGGAAATTAATATACCTGCCAGAAAAAGTGAGTTTTCTGTACCAATTGGTCAACAATGTCCCCTCCGCCCTTACAATAGTAACGTCCAGGAAATTCACAAAACCGTTGACTTCAGCCTCATGCGTGAACATTAGGCGTTTGTGGTAACTATTAAAAATCGTTAATATCTCATCGATTTTGGTTTTTGGTGCTATTGCAAAAATGTCGTCAACGTATCTGTAAAAGACCGGTATGCAGTTTAACTTGCTTAAACACTGTGTTTCAAGCTCGTCCATGACCAAGTCAGCCAATATTGGTGATAAGGGTGACCCCATCGGACAGCCAAAAATTTTTTCGTAGTATTTTCCACCAAATTCGAAGCTCGTTAGATTAAGGACAACCGAAAGTGCATGTAAAAACTGGGGCAACGTCAAATCGGTATTTTTCGTAATATACGTCCATCTCTTTTCCACCGCTGTTAAAGCTAAATCCTTAGGGATGTTCGTAAACAATGATGTAACATCCAAAGAAAATAAAAACTGATCGTCATTAATCTTCGTGTGTCTAATAGCTTCAACAAACGTCCAACTATCTTTACATACGATTTAGGCTTAGGAATCGAAATGGACAAAATTTCCCGTAGATATTGCGCTACATTATACGTGGGGCTACCTACAGAAGAGACAATAATGCGTAAAGGATAGCCCTTCTTGTGCACTTTTGGTAATCCGTAACACCTTGGAAGATTTCCACAAGTACTCTTTAGACGGTTGTATGTCATCTCGTCAACAATACCCATGTCGTGCCATCCCTTAACCAATTCATTCACCTTAGTTTTCATACGATTGGCAGGATCTTTTTGTAGTTTTTGTAAGTCGTTGTGTCATTTAGTAATTCTGTCATTGTGTCGTTATACTTAATCCATAATGACGGTAACTTGTTCTTTGTCCGCTTTGGTGATAAGCAAGTCCTCATTTTCTTTTAAAAATTTTTTGCATTTTGAAAAGCTGCTCAAGAAAAATCTGTCATACCGTTGATGTGCTTTTGTTTATTAAGGAATTTATGTACGGAGCTAGTCACCGAAGTACGCGCTGATTCCCTTAAACCTTCAGGTATCTTATGTATATTGGATTCAACATTCTTCATTATATTGAGTGTCAAATCCAACCTGTCGCTCTGATCACATTGACTTATCGAAAGTCCAAATTTTCACCCAAGCTTAAAAAATCAGAAACCGCTTTCGGAATGTTCTTGCTACTGATATTCATTAGCCATTTCGATTTGTCTGATCTATTGAAAAAGTGTATGTTTAAATTTTGAAACCGTAATAAATACTCAAACTTTCGAATTAAACAATTTTTCTTTTTGAGTCTTAATTTTTCAAGCTTGTTGTTGTTCGATTTAAAGAAACTAACCAGGAGCCCTCCTCGGTACCATGTTATTCAATTTATTCTCTATATCCCTGACCTTGGATTTCAGAGAGATCAAAATGAAATTAAGATCCCTAATTTCTAAATTCAAGATTCGTGACCGATTTCGTTTAGCGAAATTTACAAAAGAACGGTTGACTTTAGCGTTGAAAAAAGACACATTCGTATATGACCTGTATATATGTGTTGGAAATACGTCGTATCTTCTGCATTTGAGTAAGAAAATCAATTGTTGGTTGCAAATGCCAATCCTTTCCTGTGTTTTAACCCACGTTCTCATCAAATATTCTAATTAAGTTTCTAATTAAATTGCACTGGCCAGTTAGGTCGAAATTTCAATAAATTTGTATGGTTTACTTTTCACTGGTGATTTCATTAATTTTATCGTAATTTAGTATAATTTTGTTTATAGCGCTGTTTAATTTAGCACCAAGTTTTTTTAAATAACATTTTTTTATATATAAAAATATATATTGAAAAATTTATTTAATAAAATAATAATAAAA